TAAAATATAAAAATAAATATCATTATACAAATAATTCAAATAATTTTTTACGTTTTTTCATCATAGAGAGACATCTATTAGTGGAAGTCAAATATTGTTCGTTATTTAAATATCTATTAGACATATTAACAACTTTAAATATTTATATATTTTACATTAGAAATTTGCAGAATTTTTTAAATAAAAATAGTATGTAGCAAAAAATACATATTTAATTTTAAAATGTATATTTTATATGCACGTATTTATAAATTTCGAATGTATAACCTCAACAAAAATCAAAATTAATATTAAATAAAATGTTTAAAATATATAAAATAAATAAAATATTATAAATAAATATTAAAATGAATAATATAAATTAAATTATAAAAATAGCAAATTATACTTACAATATTAATATTTATAATTAATATATAAATTAATTATCCATACCAAAAGAAACAAAGTTTTAATCAAACATTTAATAGAGTATTATTTTTTTATTCAGATGGAGCCTATGACATTAGGATCACCTGCTGGAAGTCCTATGCAAAGTCCTGGAAGTCCAGGAACTTCTGCATATCTTCCAAGTTTTCTTTTAGGTGATACTACTACAGTAAGTAAAATTTATTATCAAAATTCATTACATAATATATATACAATATAATAAATAATTATTTTTAATTTTTAGCCTGCTAAAATTAATTTGACAAGTCCTCAAGATACTCCAAAACAATTGCATATTGGACATAGTGGACTTACATCTCCATTATCTAATTATGGTACTCCAGACTATCGTACTAATCGTCAAAAAGCAGTATTTAGAGGTGCTAATACTCCTAATACATCACAAATAGTCACAGAAAGTCATTCAGGTGGACCTCCAACAGTAGAATTATTTGATACTGTAGAAAGTTTAAAAACTACATCTAATCAATGCAGTTTATCAACACCAAATCAAAGTATATCATATAATCAACCAAGACTTTTGCATAGTTCTATATTCAGTGATAGTGGATTGAATCCTAATCCATCTGAATCACAAGGTCTTTTACAATGGGTGACTGTTTTTGGTTTTCCTCCTAGTGATATGAATAATGTTTTGGCTCATATTTCGAGCAGAGTTCGCATAGTAGATAAACATCCTCCACCACATTCACAAAGCAATTGGATACATTTAAAATGTGCTTCAGAACTAGAAGCACAAAGGGCACTTGCATGTAATGGAAATATAGTATCTGGATCTATAATGATTGGCGTAATTCCTTGTACAGATGAGGGTGTTATATTGCGGTGCGATAAAGAAAGAAGTTGTTCGAAAATGAATGGAAGTATTAAATCTTTTTGTAATATAGGACGACTCAGTAAATCACCAGAATATAGTACACCACGTACACCAATTAGAATACAAAGTGCAAGACCATTGGCAGTTGGTTATAATCAAAATCTTAGCTCTCAATCAGTAAGATCACCAGAAAATGTTCCACAAAAATCTACAGGTTTAGTCTCAAAAGCAATGGAATATATGTTTGGTTGGTAATTTTTAAATGAAAAAAATTGTACATGACAAATATTATTTAATATTCCTTACATTTTTATAAAAATCGAATGCGATATAAACACGACCCGA